TACATATAACCTCCTCCCTGGAGGATGGACAACAGAAAAGTGGGTGAAGGGAGACGTCGAACAGTGTAAAATATGACAAAATAATAATTTATAACATCAAGGGTGCATGAGGCGGGTGGGTGGGAAGGGAGGGGGAAAAATAAGGAGCTGATACCAAGGGCTCAAGCAGAAAGCAAGTGTTTTGATAATGATGGCAACAAATGTACAAATGTGTTTGACACCATGGATGGATGGTTGGGTTGTGATAAGAGTTGTACAAGCCCCCAATAAGATGATTTTTTAAAAAAGGATTGGTTGACATTTAACCATTTCAGGAGGTAGCATATGGAGAATAAGGAACAGTATTGAGTAGGTCCAAGCTGCACCGAAGACATTGGCAAACACACAAAGCTCCAGGAATACTCAATTACAATGTTTCAACTAACCACAACACTTGGAAGTGCCCATTCATCTATTGTGTGCCCAGAAATGTGGAAGGCAGCTGCCTAACCAACAGACTGGAAAAGGTATGTATTTGTGCTCATTCCAAAGACAAGCGATCCAGCAGAATGTTGAAATTATCGAACAATATCATGAGATCATATGCAAGTAACTTTAATTCAAAACCAGTTGCTGCAGTGCAGCCACAAGGAGCTGCCAGAATTCAAGCTGGATTCAGAAGAGGGCATGGAAAGGAGGCTATCATTGCTCAGATCAGATAGATCTGGACTGAAAGAGTGCGAGAAAGACATTTTATTGACAGTGCAAAAGCATTAAACTGTGTGGTCACAACTTTGCAAACAATGGACATTCCAGAACAAGTTACGCTCATGTGGAATCTATACGTGGACTAGTTCCAACTGAGCAAGGAGTATGGTGTGTGGTTTAAAATCCGTGGACATGTGCATCAGAGTTGTATGTGGAATCTATACGTGGACTAGTTCCAACTGAACAAGGAGTATGGCGTGTGGTTTAAAATCCGTGCACGTGTGCATCAGAGTTGTATCCTTTCACCATCTTAGTCTGTATGTTGAGCACATCTGGGAAGGTGAAGGATACAACACAGAGTAGAGCAGTGGCACTGCATTCTACATGTAGAGGTGGTTAAACTGGAGAATGCTGTGTTGGGTGTGGTTTTGCCACAATTTTAAAAAACGACAGGATGGGGCAAAAAGATGAAGTAGGTGAAGAACGCAGCATCAGGGCTGAACGAGAGACTCGTGGCCCGACTTGCGATTGTGCACACGGCTCGACTTTGCTTGCAGAAAGTGAGGGCTTAGGCACTCCTTCTCAGCCAGGCTCAAAGACCAGTCTTCAGTGTGGCTTGCACGGCCACAAGAGCAGCCAAACTCAGAACTGGATCAATAAGTAACATCGTGATAAAGGGAGACAATGTTGAAGTTGTTTCGTTTCATTTCAAGATAGGTTGGTTTTCTCTTTTTTTAACTCGATGGGGAAGTTTTCATAGGAGGAGGTTGAAAGGAGACAAGGTCTTATGACATGGCAGCTCTGGGTCTGAAGGGGGTGAAGAGTCATGGCCTTGCGCCAGAGGCCCATCTCTGGAAAGCACGGGCACTGCCCCGTCCAAACATCTGACGCCACCTTCTGCCAGCACTCCAGCCAGCACCCTTTGCCTTTGACCTGACGTGTGCCACCACTGTGTGAGCATCCGAGCCTGGTCCTCACTGATGGAAACCGCCCAGTGACGGGCTCAGAGTCAGTGTCTTCTTCCTGCCCAGCAAGGCCCCACGGTCTGCCTTGACCCATAGGGCTCTCAGATACCCAAGTATTAACTGACCAAATGATCTCGCACAGGGCATGAGCCATACCTGCGGGACCTTAGGTATGCCTGGGTTTTGAAGTTCGAATCCAAGCCCCACTGTGTCACACATAGCCTCCCTCTTCTCTATAAAATGAGCCGAGCACATTTGGAGGGCTGGGGATTGCTGTGGGCCCAGGAGCACACTCAGTCTAAGCAACTATTACTGCTCATGGAGCAAATCTCCCCAGAGCCCCCTTTGCAGCAGCTGCACCATGTGCTGAAGGGGTGCCCAGGGGACTAGGCTGGTGATCCCTTTTCTCCCCAAGACCTGGGCAACGTTTGACCACATGGCAGGGGACAGGAGCAGAGTCCTGCTCAGGCTCTGCTCCGGGCTCTGAATATGCCCGGTCAGTGTCCCTGAGCCCCACCCTCCCAAGACTTCTCCTTCCTATCGTTCATCTTAGAACCTTCCAAGCGGGTACTTCCCTAGTCTCAGAGAGGACAGAAGCAGTTGGTAAGCTGCAGGTGGACAGGGTGAGGGGGGGGGGGGGCATGGTAGTGAAGCAGGGACGTTATCTGACCTGCAACGTCGCTCTTTCTGCTCCAGGTTCCTCTCACCTCACCAGTCGCTCCTCGCCACAGCCCTGCACATCAGAGCGGCCTCTTCAGACCTCTAAGCTCTCCCTGCCATCTTGCCCCCAACTGATCCTGATTCTTTAAACTTTTATTTTCTCCTAAAACACTTTTTTTTTCATTTCTTTAAAAAATTTTGGTAAAGTATGGTACCCTATGTCACCCTTTAATCATTTTAAAATATATGTCTCAATGGCATTAAGTTGACTACTGTGTGTGGTGGAGTAAGTAGAACTTGGCCTCAAAGGCTTTCCGCAGCTGGTTTGTTTGGGACAGACCTCTCCAGGTGACTCAAGCCTCCAACCTTCTGGTCAGCACCCAAGAACGCTCACCAGCGGCACCGCCCAGGGCCTGTAAGCCATCTGAATTGCTGAGCCCCAGGCTTCCATCCAGACCAGACTGCCTCATGCCTGTCCCCACCCAGAATGCTACTGGACATGTAGCATGTCTACCAGTGAACCTGGTTCCTCCAACACCCGCTCCCCTACAAGCTTGCCTCAGGGTCTCCAGCCCCACATTGAGTTGCCCTTCATTCCTCCTCGTGCCTACACCTCCAATCCAGGAGGACCTGTCAACTCTCGCTCCAGAGTGCACGCAGGGGCTGACCACTTCTCCCTCCACGGCCCTCCTGTGGCAGCTAGCCTGACCAGCTGCCAAGCCTGCCCATTGCTTCCATTCTTTCTGGCCCATCCCAGTGGTCTCTCCAGAGCCATCACACCAGGACCTTGACACTCCCTGCTTGAAACTCTTCCCTCTCCGCCTGCCTGCAGGCCTCCCAAGTCCCTGCACAAGTGCCCCGACATTCCTGGGCTCACAGCTTAATCATGCACATGGGCTTCCTCTCTGCCCAGCAGCCTCCTACCTCAGTGCCTTTGCACCAGCACTCATTGCTATCTAAACACTGGCCCCTACATCTAGCGATATAGGATATAGCTGTTGCATTCTTGGGAGTCAAAAGGCCGGTGTGAGAGCCCCACCCCCACCCCAGTAGATGTTATCAAAACCCAAACTATTTTCACTATGGGCATGGGTCTTTTCTCTGTTAACTCAGAATCTCCCATTACCTAGAAGTGCTAGGTGCACAGCACACAGCCGTGCTGAGTGACAGCCATATAGATCTATACAGACATAACCAGCTCACAAAAAATACTCAACCAGCTAAGCCCCCCACACACACACACACACACACACACTCGCTCACCATTAGGCCACCATGGGACTTACTCTTTCCCCATGGGCCTCAGCCCTTCCACGGATCCAGACCTGCCCTCTGCCTGAACCCAGTATCAGCACTGGGAGTGAGGGTCTCCAGCCTGCACAGGGAGGGGGGCACTGGCCCACAGGCCTCAGGCGGCGCCTTCAGCTATGCCTGCAATTTCCTCTCCCCCTTCCTTCCCTCCTCTCCAAAGGCTCCCGCCAAGAAGGCCTCCCCCTCACCCCAGGCCCAGCACGAGGGGCCCAGGATGCGGGTGAGGGGTGTCCTGGGAGTCTGGGCAGGAAGAAGATTCCAGGTTGTGCACACCACACAGGCACAGTGTGCAGAAGCCCTCACCCAGGCAAGAATGCCCTAGTGAGGGAGTGTGTGTGTCCACCCCCCAACCCCTTGCAGCAGCTGACCGACCTCAGGAACCCCTGCTGGGCTCTGCAAAGCTGGCCTGGCCTGGCTAAGTGGGAGTCCAACAATCATTAACCCTGTGTGACAGAGCTCCGCCAGCTGGTCACACACTGTGGGCTCTGCAGGGACAAGTTGCGCACCCTCTCCTTCCAAGGCCACTTGAGGGACTGGAAACCTGGGGGGGGGGGGCAGAGGCAGGGCTGGGAGCAGTGGCGGAGCACCTGGACAGGGGGCAGGGGCCCCAGGAGGCCCTCCTCCAGGAAGGGAAGTGGCCAGGGCTGCACAGTGGGTCAAATTCTGACTCTCCGTGCCCTGCGTACATTACAGGTCAGGAGATGCCCGGAAAGTACGCGTGGTGTTCAGCCCAGTGGCTGGCACTTAGTGGGCATCTCGTCTGTCCTTACACGGCCTGGGGGGCGGGAAATGCAGGCCGCCTGCCTCCCCAGCGGCTTCCTGTGCGAGAGCCGGCCTCGCCCCCAACTCCGCTCCCCCTCCTCCGGGCCCTCTTCCTCCCCGCCCGCCCCGCCCCGGCCCGCCCCTTGAAGGGAACACAGGGCATGCATTGAAGCAGTGACCTGAGAGGCAGGAAGAAAGGCAGATAGAGATCTG